ACAGTGTGAGGGGGGGGGGGGGGAGAAGGAAGAAAAAGAGGAATCTTCTTGTCTACTTATATTACAAAAATGGTGTGTGAAAATATTCAGGAATTATTGATTTGCCGTAAATAATTTATGGTACGTGTATATTCTTATATCTATTGTCACCTTTGTAAATGCACATAATAGCTTAGTGTTTAAATTTTGTGAATAATATCACGTGCATTAAACTGCCCAATAGGACAAGGAAAGTATCCATTATACTCAGGCTTAAAAAAGTTTAAATTTATAGTATCTAACATGGTCCCATGTGAAAAGTTGGATTCATCTTTTGGTATTTCCTTCTACGGAGTTGTATCGCCATGTTTTCATGGCTTTGTATATATGTACGAAAATTACATAAAGTTACTCCTTATGTTAGACAGAATGGATAGTGTGGATGATGATGATGATGGTGATGATGCTGGCGATGATGATGATGATGAAATTGTGTTTGGAAGTATTAGGGGAGGCTTTTGGTTGGGATTTGGCGTTTGTGATCATAAAGCTTAGTTTGTCGAGTAGCGGCTGTTTGGCTCTGCCCCCCACATGTCACGGGTTTTGTTCTTTCCTTCTCCCCATTCACTTCTATACATTTATACGTTGTCTCATAATAATTTTTTTTTGTTACGATAGAAATCTCCTATCCTACAACCCTTCGGGTCGGATACCGGATACCGCAACGCCTCTCAATCCATGGGTCGGACGAGAACGACATCAGAACAGCATTGCGGATTTGAGAAAACCCACCGCCCTATGCAGTAGCCGTCAAACCACGCAGAGCAGGTAAACCAACCTCGTAAAACTGACCGACTCAAGGAAAGTTTTCATACATGAGTTTCGAACCCACAACCTTTTGCTAAAGTGGAGTTGTCACTAACCACTAGGTTGGGCGACTCTCTCTGTTGTCTCATAATATTAACCGTTACCCTTTCATTTTCTTACGTGTTCCATTATATAATATTTTACTTTGATACTCTAGCTGATTCGTTTATATATATATATATATATATATATATATATATATATCGAATTCGAAAATATGGATTATATTTAGTTTGAACAGTTTGCGATGTGGTTTCCCATTGTGGGTAAATATGATACGATTTGTAGCACGCAGAAAAAAAAAACACGATTTAATTATTCTATTTTACACTAAAAAATTACTGTCTTTGGATTCTCATTTATATATCCCGTGATTATTTCCCGAATTATTCCAATAATTGTATGCGATGACAACCACAGTTCATGGACAACTTGAGACACCCATGTCATTGTCAATGAAATGACCCAAACATATATTTATGCTGAAAACTGATAAATTGAGTTTTTTTTACGAACATACAAATAAAGCATTTTTTTTTTTACAAACAGTAATTCATTTTGAATAATATAGTTCGAGATTAAAATTTTAATCTGAACGTTAAATTTAATTTTATATTTATAAATTTTTATATTGTTATTTTTAGAGAAAATGACATTTTCCTACACGAATTCTTTAAAATGTGACTTTTTCCTACACATTATCAAATGTGCCAAATTGATATACGAACTACTCAATTTAACTGTAATTTCCTACACAACCCGAAAACGACGTTAAATGTCCGTTAACCGATGATGTGGCACGCCACGTGACATATGACGTGGCACGTCACATGGAAAATTTTACCACGTCACCGTGCCACGTCAGATTTTAAAAAAAAAATACAAAAAAATCTGAAAAAAAAAATCGAAATTTTTAAAAAATATATATATATACTCCTATTTAAAATATATATACTCCTATTTAAAAAATAAATATATATACTCCTACATATATATTCATATACAAATACAAATATAAATATATATACTCCTACTATATATACTTTTATGTAGGAGTATATATATTTATATTTGTATTTGTATATGAATATATATGTAGGAGTATATATATTTATTTTTTAAATAGGAGTATATATATTTTTATATAGGAGTATATATATATTTTTAAAAAAAATCAATTTTTTTGTATTTTTTTTAAAAATCTGACGTGGCACGGTGACGTGTCAAAATTTCTCATGTGGCGTACCACGTCAGATGCCACGTGGTGTGCCACATCATCGGTTAACGGACATTTAACGTCGTTTTCGGATTGTGTAGGAAATTGCAGTTAAATTGGGTAGTTCGTGTATCAATTTGGCACATTTGATAATTTCTAGGGTATATGGCTGAACCCTATGGTGGACTCCATACGGGTGCGATGAGATAACCGTTGTGTCATGGACTTGACATCGATGGTCACGAGAGGGACGAGTGCAGGAGACGCGCATAATCGCATGCGATGCGATGGCCAACGTCACGCGAGTGACGGGCGTGGAGACGCTCCTAGTCATGCCGATTTGACTAGGATTTATGCCTAGACCCTATGGTGGACTCTATACGGGTGTGATTGTGATTGCTATGATTGTGATATATGTTATGTAACGGTGCATGTTTATTATTTTTGCATGGTGATTGTGAATCATCGTTTTAACACCGTTCTCGCTGAGAACGGGTTTACCGGGTTTAACCCGGGCTACTCACTAAGCACTTGTGCTTAGTCCTCGTGGTTCTATGTTTTTACAGATCACGAGGATTACGCCTAGCGCACCAGACGACGATGACCCGAGAGAAGCAGCATCATGTACGGGATTTGTATTCGGAACCTCGGGACTTGTATTCCCGCATTTTGTACGGTTATATCATGACTATTCGGACATGTGTTGTTTTGCGATACTGATCGCGTTGTATTTCCGCTGCGTACTCTGATTTGATTTAAAATGTTTTTTGATTTCGTATTTTCGCTTCCGCAGTTTATTATTTTATTGTATATCGTCCATGTGGCACAACCCGTATATTGTACACGGGTTACGGGTATCATAACGTTTGGTATCAGAGCCAGTTCTTTCCTCGGGAATGAATCGTGCTCATTACCCAACTGTTTTCTACGGAAATGTTTTCAAACCATGTCTGAAGAAAATCCTCACATGTCGAGGTCCGTACATTGATGATGCAGTTATCGGTCGTCAGGCGATGTGGTTTCCCATTGTGGGTAAATATGATACGATTTGTAGCACGCAGAAAAAAAAAACACGATTTAATTATTCTATTTTACACTAAAAAATTACTGTCTTTGGATTCTCATTTATATATCCCGTGATTATTTCCCGAATTATTCCAATAATTGTATGCGATGACAACCACAGTTCATGGACAACTTGAGACACCCATGTCATTGTCAATGAAATGACCCAAACATATATTTATGCTGAAAACTGATAAATTGAGTTTTTTTTACGAACATACAAATAAAGCATTTTTTTTTTTACAAACAGTAATTCATTTTGAATAATATAGTTCGAGATTAAAATTTTAATCTGAACGTTAAATTTAATTTTATATTTATAAATTTTTATATTGTTATTTTTAGAGAAAATGACATTTTCCTACACGAATTCTTTAAAATGTGACTTTTTCCTACACATTATCAAATGTGCCAAATTGATATACGAACTACTCAATTTAACTGTAATTTCCTACACAACCCGAAAACGACGTTAAATGTCCGTTAACCGATGATGTGGCACGCCACGTGACATATGACGTGGCACGTCACATGGAAAATTTTACCACGTCACCGTGCCACGTCAGATTTTAAAAAAAAAATACAAAAAAATCTGAAAAAAAAAATCGAAATTTTTAAAAAATATATATATATACTCCTATTTAAAATATATATACTCCTATTTAAAAAATAAATATATATACTCCTACATATATATTCATATACAAATACAAATATAAATATATATACTCCTACATAAAAGTATATATAGTAGGAGTATATATATTTATATTTGTATTTGTATATGAATATATATGTAGGAGTATATATATTTATTTTTTAAATAGGAGTATATATATTTTTATATAGGAGTATATATATATTTTTAAAAAAAATCAATTTTTTTGTATTTTTTTTAAAAATCTGACGTGGCACGGTGACGTGTCAAAATTTCTCATGTGGCGTACCACGTCAGATGCCACGTGGTGTGCCACATCATCGGTTAACGGACATTTAACGTCGTTTTCGGATTGTGTAGAAAATTGCAGTTAAATTGGGTAGTTCGTGTATCAATTTGGCACATTTGATAATTTAATGTAGTTTTTTGTCAAATTAAAAGTTCGTATAGGAAAAAGTTACATTTTAAACAATTCGTGTAGAAAAATATTTTCCTTATTTTTAATAAAAATGTGAAGTTGAGCTTGAAGTTTCCAACTTTCCAAAAGCCGAAAATTAAAAAAAGATAAAACACAAGAACTGTGATTTTAGAAATAAATTTACGTAGGCCCAATAACATAGAAATGGGCTTAATAGGCCCAACTGTGGAGTATTCAATCACCCGAATTAAGGAAAACCCACCCGAATTCTCCGACCCATCAGAATGGGATCTTCGGTGACTCCGTCGAATCCAGAGACGAACGGCACCGCCTCTCCACCGTCTTACCACAAATCTCCGGCAAAAAATGGCGACGATGTACCTTCTCCGCTTCCCGCTGTTACTGCCTCCGATCTAACGATCTCGGAATCGGATGCGTCGAAAAATAGGAAAGGGGGAGTGTTTCCGCTCGAGGTGGGTACTCGCGTCATGTGTCGGTGGCGGGATTCCAAGTACCATCCGGTGAAGGTTATCGAGCGCCGGAAGCTGTATCACGGCAGCCAGAATGATTACGAGTATTACGTTCATTACACAGAGTGTATGTGGTTTCGTTCTCTCTCACGCTTTGATCTAGGGTTTGGGCGTTGGATCGCAAAATTAGGTTTTTTATTCGGTTTCGGTTGTGTGTGATATCTTTACGTGTTGGGTACCTTTGCTTTTGTGCGGATGAATATGACACTGGTGGAAATTGTCTGGAATTTAGAAAATGTTCTGCAAATGAGTTTAATTTTTCAGTATGTGATCGAGGGTTTTGGTTAGCATGAAAGGTCGGAGGGGAATGTAAATTATTGAGTTTCTTGATTGGTTGGACGCAGGTAGGTGATGGGTGCATCAATTTCTGAAGATATAGATATTGTTTTTGGAGTAAAATAGTCCCAGAAACAATGCGCAATTCTTGCATGTATTTATTTTGGATTGTCGACTGATTTACAATGATGAGAAAGATGTTGTTAGCTCCAATTTGGGTAAGACGAGTTGGGAAGGGAATCAAAATTCTTGGTTTTCTCACAATGGCTGCGGGAGACATTTCTTTAGCCTTTTGGGGCTCAGAAGGTGTTGAATTGGTTCCTGAGTATGATGGTCAGCCTTGTCGGAGTGGTTAAAAAGGCGGCTGTGATAATGACACTCATCATATTTGAGCACTGGGTTTTCATATTTCTGTTGAAACTTGCAGTTAATAGGAGGCTGGATGAATGGGTGAAGCTGGAACAATTGGATCTTGATTCAGTAGAGTGTGCAGTAGATGAGAAAGTGGAAGACAAGGTAGTCACTTTTATTAATACATCAACTTCTCTATAGTTCCATTTGCTAGGTTGCGTTCTTACATATTGATGTCATGTTTTTGTGTATCTTTGGGCAATTGCATAACGTGTCTCTTTTCTTCAATCATCCGCACTGAATGAAGAATTATTTCTGCTGTTTATAGGTGACAAGCTTGAAGATGACACGCCATCAGAAACGAAAGATTGATGAAACACATGTGGAGGTATGTGATTGGCTACGCTGCTAGAAGTTGGATATGACTTGGTAACAACGGCGGAGTATTGCTAGTTGTACAATAAGTTATCTTTATGGTGTTCTGATATGTTGATACCTCCTCCAGTAATTATACACCTGTCTAGCTATTTTTTTCGAGTCTCTGATATTCTTGGAGCTACTAAAGCATAGCTTTGTATGTTGAGATGTTTATTTAGGGTCATGAGGAGCTAGATGCTGCTAGTCTGCGTGAACATGAAGAGTTCACAAAAGTGAAGAACATAGCGACCATTGAGCTTGGAAAATATGAGATTGAGACATGGTATTTCTCCCCGTTTCCGCCAGAATACAATGACTGTGTGAAACTCTATTTTTGTGAGTTTTGTCTGAATTTTATGAAGCGCAAAGAGCAGCTTCAAAGACATATGGTGAGCAACTGGTTGTTACTAGCTTTGACTGCTTTATGATGTTTTTGTTGGAACTGCTTTGTCAATTTGAGATTCCGTTTAGGGTATCGGGTCCTTTACATTTGCAAACTCTTAATTTGACCAACCTCCACATCTTCCATGAATTCATCCAAGTAGCATTTCATTCTGTTTTTTCTTTTAACTCTGTTTAATATGTTGCTTTTCTTTGCAGAGGAAATGTGATCTGAAGCACCCCCCTGGTGATGAAATCTACCGAAGCGGTACTCTGTCAATGTTTGAGGTAAAAATCCGATATATTTATTCTATATCTTTTACTCTGCTGCTCTTTGAAACTGATGTTTATGGTTTTTTTGGTAACCTGATCATGTTTTTCAGCTGTGTTTACTTTTTGCCAGTAAATTGATAAATTTAGATTTCTCACTTGATTCTGTTCTGTTGTTATCTTTTTATCTGACGATATTCTGATCTTACAGATAGATGGCAAAAAGAACAAGGTCTATGCACAGAATCTCTGTTATCTGGCAAAATTGTTTCTTGACCACAAAACTCTTTACTATGATGTCGATTTGTTTCTTTTCTACGTTCTGTGCGAATGTGATGATCGAGGATGCCACATGGTCGGATACTTTTCAAAGGTAGCGACATTGTGTTGCTTTTTGTCTCTCGTTTGTAGAATATCTAAGTGAATTGTTGATGAGAGAGATGTCATGTATGTTGGAACAGGAGAAGCATTCGGAAGAATCTTACAACTTGGCTTGCATCCTCACCCTTCCTCCCTACCAAAGGAAAGGCTATGGGAAATTCTTAATTGCCTTCTGTGAGTTGAGTTCTTTTTTATCATTCTGCTCCTCATCACCCTCTCTCTTCAAACCTGTTATGTTTGATTTTGCTTATTCGGTGGAGAGCAGCCTATGAACTATCGAAGAAAGAGGGGAAAGTCGGAACACCGGAAAGACCCCTGTCCGATCTAGGCTTACTGAGCTACAGAGGTTACTGGACTCGGGTTCTATTGGACATCTTGAAAAAACACAAGGGCAACATCTCTATCAAGGTAAACCCAAAAAAAAAAAAAGATTAGATGGTTCCCTTTTGGATTTTATTTCAAACTTGATGCTACATCTGCCACTGATGATTATATGAGGGATTGATTGATTTACCTGTCATGGTGTGGGAATACACATAATGGTAGGAGCTGAGTGACATGACGGCAATCAAGGCAGAAGACATATTGAGCACATTGCAAAGCCTAGAACTGATACAGTACAGGAAAGGGCAACACGTGATCTGCGCCGATCCCAAGGTTCTGGACCGACACTTAAAGGCTGCTGGCCGAGGTGGTCTTGAGGTCGACGTCTCCAAACTTATATGGACCCCTTACAAGGATCAAACTTAAATCTTCAAACTGCATTCCTTCCCTATGTAAAAATATATATATATATATTGCATTAACACGACCACCTATGTTCCTCTACGCTAGCTTTTGTAATTTTCTTGGAGATCTTTAGGTCTTGTAATCATTTGAGTAGATCGAGTGCAACTAAACCGGTCAAATAAGCCAATCCGGTTCGATACCATATCCGGTCTGGCTCGAAACTTGGTTTCACCTCTGCCTTGAATGAGCAGCGGCCAGCCATGTTCCCCTTTCTGAAGCTGAAAAATCTCACTGACACAAACCTAAAAGGTCGACCGAATATTTGTTTTTTTTGGGGAAAAAAACTCTTAATGAAAAAGAAACACAGCACGAGAACCCGTTCTTATTTATCCATTAGGGTTTTCTTTTCCCCCGTCGAATTCGATTCGCATGAACACTTGAGGAGAAAAAGTGTGTGATTTCTGATGCAATTCAATTGGGTGCGTTTTGCAAGGTTTTTTTTGGGCTGAATTTTGAATTTCAGACGGGGACTCGGGGAGTAAGCGGTAAAATTCAGACATGGCGCGTGACGGGTACGTGGTTCCGGCGGACCCGTCTGCGGTTGTGACGGTGAAGAAGAAGGCGCCCCAATCGTCGCGGAGTTGGGTCCTCGTGGACGCGCTGGGGCAGAGTACAGTGCTCGACGTCGACAAGTACGCGATCATGCACCGCGTACAGATCCACGCGCGAGATCTCCGTATCCTGGACCCCAATCTCTCTTACCCTTCTACTATCCTCGGCCGAGAGAGAGCCATTGTGTTGAATTTGGAGGTTGGATTGTTGATTCTCGTCGTCTCTTTTTGCTCTAGATAGTGTGACTTCTGGATTTACAATGTGTTGAATGTACGTTTTTTTTATGTTTGTGTTTGTGGTGGTTTATTGCAGCATATCAAGGCGATCATCACTGCTGAAGAGGTTAGTTTACTCTTTGGTTTTCATGGGTTTGATCTTTCATCTCGTTGGTACGTTTTTCTGCAAGTTCTCTTCTACTCTTTCTAGGATTCGTAGTTGATGGGTTCAAATTTCATTCATCTGGGTAGGCTTCTGAATGGTGAGAGATTCGAGTTGGGATTTGGTACTTTCTTGTTGCTCAATTTCTTATAGGACGGGTAGTGTGGAAAGATTTTGGACAACACTGAATTGGGTGAATTCGGTTACTCTCAGAATTTGTTCTTGGCATGCTTAAGTATAGAATTTCACAATCTTAGCCGGGTTTCGATTTAGTGGACGGGCGTATGGACTGTTTTGAGATTAGAATTGGCTTTCTGTGGAGTAAGAAGATCTAATCATGTCTTGTTCGTGGATCTCTTAACATCAATGTTTCTGTGATGTCCAAACCTTTCTTCTCCTCAAAATGATGGTTTTGGGGTAGTTTCTGTGTATCGATTCTCAGAAGTTTGTTGTGAAATCAACTTGCTACAGGTTTTGCTACGTGATCCATCAGATGAAAATGTTATTCCTGTGGTGGAGGAGCTTCAAAGGCGCTTGCCAGCTGGAAACGAGGCACACCAAGTTCAGGGAGATGGGAAAGAGAGCTTGGCTGCACAAAATGATGTTGATGCTGGAGAAGAAGACGGTATACCTTTGCCATTTAGCAATCAAATCTCAAAAAAATCTCCTCCTTTTGATGTTTATGTTATGCAGATGTTTACATTAGAAATATATGAGGGTCTTCCCTCAAGGTCTGGGGGATTACTCCGGCCAAAGGGTCAGATATCTTCGTTAGAAAGAATTAAGTGTTCGACTTCTGGTATCTGAAATGTATGCTTATTACAATTTAGAATCACCATTTGAATTTCGGGCGCTGGAGGTGGCTTTGGAAGCCATTTGTAGTTTCCTAGCTGCAAGGACGACAGAACTAGAGACTGCTGCTTATCCGGCTTTGGATGAGCTTACCTCCAAGGTAGGTAACTTGATGTTTTGTTATCATTGATCCTATTTTTAGCTGCATTTTCATTTGATTACAGTCTATGCGCATCACATCATCTTGCAGATAAGTAGCCGCAACTTGGATAGGGTTCGTAAATTGAAGAGTGCAATGACTCGGTTGACAGCTCGTGTTCAAAAGGTAGAGTCCTTTCTCCGAAAGGCAACTTGTTTTGTGCAATCTTTTGAAGTGAACCTCATGGAAAGAGACTCGTTAAACCAAACTTCAAAAGTAGAGTAGAAAATTATGCTTTGGGAATGTTTAGATCTAAATATGGATTTAAATAAATCCGTTACATCAGGCAAGAGAAGAAGAAGAAGAAGTAGTAGTAAGCAGCCTGCTTATCATATTTTGCAGGTAAGGGATGAGCTCGAACAATTACTGGATGATGATGATGATATGGCCGATCTTTACCTTTCAAGAAAGCTAGCTGGCGCTTCTTCACCGGTCAGCGGTTCTGGTGGAGCCATTTGGTGTCCTGCCTCCCCAACAATAGGATCTAAGATTTCCAGAGCCAGTAGAGCAAGTTTAGCAACTGCTCGTATGGACGAGAATGACGTTGAAGATCTTGAAATGTTGCTCGAGGTTGTTGCATGCATAAAAAATCAGTCATGTTCCATCTCTGGTATTCAGCTCCACATGAAATTTAAACACTTCTCTCATACTTTTTCCAGGCATACTTCATGCAAATTGACAGCACTTTGAACAAATTAACCACGGTACCTTCTTGTTTCCTTCTGTTCTTACCTCTTTAATGTGAACCTTGTGATATCTCTGACCCCCAGGGTACATACTTGACATGAATCAACCATATAAATCTTGAAGCTATTATGCATCTCTAGTTGACAGTGCTGTGGAGCTAATCTACTTTTAGTCACTTGTAAATTTCGATACTCATATTAGAAACGATGTTCCGTTTTATCATCAATCTCTTCAATGTGTTTCAATTCTTGGTTTGACTTGTTTCAGCTGCGGGAGTATATTGACGACACCGAGGATTACATTAACATCCAGGTATCCAAATGAAAGCTGAATTCTCTTATCCCAATTTTAGCTGTTGATGTGATCTTGCTTTGAATAGTCTAACCAAAGTTATACCGATGGAATTTGCAGCTGGACAATCATCGAAATCAGCTCATTCAGGTGCAGTGAACCCTGAAGCTCGAGCGTTCATCTCATTCGAGTGCGGTAAACTCATGTTGACATTGTTTTTTATATCTCCAACTCGTGCAGTTAGAGCTCGTATTGAGTTCTGGAACAGTCTGTTTATCGATATATTCTCTCGTGGCTGGAATTTTCGGTATGAATATCCCTTACACCTGGAACGATGACCACGGATACGTCTTCAAATGGGTGCGGAAATCATTTCAGTTCTCGGTTGATTGAGTGATTGATTGATTTTGAATCCCGCAACCTAAATTCATCAGTTTCTTTTGCAGGTTGTCAGCCTCACTGGATCATTCTGCGCAATTCTGTTTGTGATCATCATGTTGTACGCTCGTTACAAGGGCCTCGTCGGATCTTGACGATCCATCGATCAGTCTTCCTCCTCTCTTTGTCACGCACATGAATGGTAAAAGGAAACTGGTATGGATTCTCTCGATCGCTCTCTTCTCTTTACAGAATTTGTGAAGGGGGCTTTGATTTTTTTCCCCCTCTAAACGCCGGAAATCTGGCGATCTTCATGGCCACATTACTTGTGGGATTAAACCAAAAAAAAAAAAAAATAAGGGTATGAGCCCTTTGACGTGTAGCTGTAAAGACAGCTTACACATCAGTTATTTACAACATTCACCTTCATATTCACTGTTCTGCCTGTAATTACAAGTATTACTCAACAATCAATCATTCAATGAAACCTCATTAGCATACACACACTTTCTGTCTGTATCTATGTGCTCTAGCCTAGGTTATGGTCTTGGTTCATGTACAGATAATAATGGCGCCTTTAGATTAAGCACGCTCTTATGGTATTGTAATATATATATATATATATGTATATCTATATTCATATTCCCTTTTGTCCCTCCCGCAAGGTGCTTGCATCATAGATGAGTCACTGCTTCCTTAAGCAACCACACATTTAATAAAAGAAAAAAAAAGGAAAAAAAATCATAGACGTGGAAAGACAATGTTGCTTGGGTCTGCAACACGAGACAACAAGACTCAATCACAATCACATATATCTATATAGAGGCTATATATGTAGCTTGTAGTAAAAGGCTCTCAATTGCCCAACCTTATATATATATATATATATGTATATGTATACACATATACATATAGAAACAGATTTTGTGTGTTTGGTTTGTATATATTGGGTCGAATAATCATATATAAAACCTTACGTATGCGGAGAATTCGATTACCCTTTCCTCATATAATTGCCCAACCTTTTCTTTTTTTATTTCATTGGTTTGCATGCATCAAGTGGTAACATAATCATTTACCCTTTTGTCGTGTGTGTTTAGGTCTGTCTAATCCATCCTACATATAATCACACTATTAGATTTGGAATCAGTATATTCGATCCTCTTCTTATCAATTTCCCAATTCTCCTTAAAAAGTAATTAATTATAGAAGATGAGTTAGGCAGTAGGCAACATAGTATTAGTGCCTATCTTATTAAGACGACACAAGTTCTAATAATTTATTTAACCAAAAAAAAATTCTAATAATTTATGTATAGTTATATATATGGCTTATTAGAAAATAATTGAATAATAAAACAATACGAATATATATATATATATATGTATATATATGAATGTAAGAAAAAAAACATATGTATGTGTGTTTTCTAACTTTGCTTCTTGCTTGCGGATTGTGATGGACTGAACATTACAACATATATCACTTGTAAGAATTACGTGTCTTTGCCCTTTTTTTCCTTTTCTTTTTTTTTAATAGAAATAATTGGACACTGAACTGAAGCACTTAACTTTTTTTTTTTTTTTGGGGGGGGGGGGGGGGAATAGGTTGCTTTAGCAAACGCCAGACACCCTATAAAATGCGCGCAAAATGCCTGCTGAGCATTCGCTGAGAAAATCTGTTGAGTTTCTTCTCTGGTTCATTGTGCGATTTGATGCGGCCGAGAGGAAGATCTCACAACCGTAGATCGAGGAGCTTCTACAAAAAGACTTCATCCAAACACGAGAGTTCAGTTCCATCGTCATCTTCCTCATTGCTGTTCTGTTCATAGACCCTGCAGATCACCCACTTGCTGTAATCCTGCGAAAGTTAAATATTATATGAAAGAGAGAAACTTGAAAGAAAAAAAATCACAATATCCACCAGAACCCACCAACAATGCATGTGACGGGGATTTTTTTAAATATGGTTTCACCAAAATCCATAAATGATTGTGATACCAATATCTTGAGAGGGTCACTAGAAAGAGTAAAAGAAGAGAGAGAGAGAGAGGGTGCTTACGGTTCTATGACTAGAACTACTAGTGCTACTACTTGTACGGCTTCCTCTTTTGGAAGAAGGGGAATCTAGGAGGGAATATTCTTGCATCAACCAGTTGGTCGGAGATTCGCCGAGGTAGAACGTCAAGTACTTCTTGACGCCGACCTTCTTGTGGCCGGAGCTGGTGAAAATGGGTTCGTCCATTTCCATGGATCTCCAATAACCACTGCTCGTCGCCCTGTTCCGCGTCTTCCTGCTGTAGAAATACCATTGCCTCCCTTCCTCCATCGCCTTCCCTGTTAGGGTTTTTTATATATATTATTTCATCAATTCACTAATGGTGTATATATTATTCGTTCCTCGGTGGTTCTTCGAGATATATCTCAACATCCTATAAGTGTGTTCGTGTGTATGCGTGTATATAATGACTAGGCTAGATATATATATACACACATCAATATATATATATATATATATGTGTGTGTGTGTGTGTGGATATGAAACAAAGCTGTAGGTATGATCATGGCGATGTGAAATACCTACATATGCAGCACGCCCACATGGAAAAGGAAAAAGATTAGGTGGAGATTGGTACTATATTTGTTTGTATGGTGAGATTTAGGAAACATAAACAATCCTTAAAAAGCAACCAACAAAATGTGTACTGACTGTGAGAGGCCATTGATTGCTTAAGTTGGTGACAATCTCTCCCTCTCTCTCTGTCCTTTTTGGACCAAAATAGGTTATTCTCTCTCTCTCTCTCTCTCTATATATATATATATATATATAAACCCCTTACAAAACTAATGTTTACGTATATGTGAAACTATAATCCTTCCTAATCATTCCCGTACACATGCATATATATATATATATATATATATATATTTAAGGAACACATATGTGTATATATATATATATATGTAAACCCAACCCAAGTGTGTAGATGCATAAATATAAAATATACAGCTCACTATGTTTTTTTTTTGGATAATATGTGATTTGTGGGTTCGAACGTTGGGTGAAACGCTCTTTGCGCACACTCAACAACTCACTATGTTTATATTTGCTATAATTTCTGACTATCAAACCTCCCCTTATGGAGCTGTAACTATGAGAATTTGGCACGTACACACGCATACGTACACATATATATGTGTATGCATGCATGTTTGTGTACAACACATATATGTATATATGTATGTATATGTATATAGAGAGAGATACCGGGGAGGTCCCAAGGATCGTAGGGGAAGAGATCAAGGTCGGGGATGACGTCAGGGTGACAAGGCAAGAGCGAAGCCTTGCGGTGGAGGAAGTGAACGACGAGCTCCTCGTCCGTTGGATAAAACCTGAATCCCGGCGGCAGATTCGCGTTTCCGTACCCATCTCCCATCTCCTCATACAACTTCTATACACATATATACATACATACACATATACGTACGTGTGTATATCACGAGAGAAGAAAAACCCACATACAGGGGAAGATGATGCGGAGTTAGAGGGAGGAGAGAGAGAGAGATATTTATAGGGTCAAGAAGAAGGAAGGGAGAGAAGGTGGAACTATAAGTTGGAGGATACGCCATTTTGATGGGCTTTCATCAGTTCACTTCACTTTCACAGAATCAATTATTCCTTCAATTTTTTTATAAAAAAATACTCTAAATAATATACATTCAATTTTTGTTTACATACATATAAAAATGATCATTGTTGAATTAAAATCCATGTAAAAACCATCTTAATAAAAAAAAGTACGTCCGTGGAAGGGTATTATTATTATTATTATTATTATTATTATTATTATTATTATTATTATTATTATTATTATTATTATTATTATTATTATTATTATTATTAAAAGAAGAGAGAGGCGGCGCGTTAGGGAACGTGGTTACGATTATTGGATACTTGCAAGCAACGGTATCTATCCCTTCCTAGGGTGATTCTTCCTCTTGTTATCTTTACCTTATCCACCTTTTTTTTAATTCATTTTCCATCCTTTTTCTAACTGTTTTAAGTTTTTTTTTTCGTTCTCTAATTGAATTTAATTGAAGATTTATTACATATTCAATCTGAAAAAAGATAATAAGAGAGATGGTATTCGATATATCTATTTTTCAATTTATTTTCGTATCTATGGACATGTATATGTCATAGAAAATTTTGTATTTATGCATGGATGCTAGCTTTGTATTGGTTTTTTATATTTACCATCCTTTTTTTTTATATTCGATTGCGTAATGTTACATGACCTTCTCGGAAATAAAGCACTACTTATTATGAAATTTCTCATTAAACCTAGCGAACCGTATACACGTCAAAACTATACTATGATTATTTATTCAACCAAAACGTATGAATTAAGAAAATTTAAAAATCTATAATTCAGCTTTTATTGATGTCCAAAAAATAGAAATTTTTTTTAAAAAAAATACGTTTTTCATTGTATTCCTTTCATTTTAATAAAAATAAAAATTTGCACATAAAGAAAGAGAGGAGATCATGGGACGTCATGCTGAGATCATGCAGCCGCAAGGCGATACGTGGCAAACATGAAAAATGGGCTCGGTCGTCAACCATCTAATTTCACTCTGGGCCCCACTCTTCTCTTTTGGGATTTTGTACCTTTGTGTTGTGCCCAATACTTTCCAATTATTACCATTCATCCCACTATTTTGTTTTTGTTTATTTTTGGCCATTTCTCCTTGTTCTCATTTTATATTCTGTTGCCAACATCTCAACCAAATCATTTTAAAATAGTTTAATTGTGTATATATATATATACACACACAATTGAAACCATATCAAAATATAATCTCAATTCAAATTTTTATTTTTCGATTTAAGATCCTTCACACACCAATACAATTAACTTCGTGGAAAAAATAGCGGTACATGAAAACTTCTAACATGGAGAATATATATCATGATTTATAAAATGTGAATATCTAAAGTATATAAACCTATATATAAACATTGTTTAGGTTATATGATTCTCATTTGTGGAAGCATGCATGTGAATACACACACACACACTCGAGTAGCAATCAATGTCTTTGAATGCTGAATTGAGATTCCACATACAATACAATGCCTAAAGAGCAATCCAACTCTTACTTAGGATTGAGAATTCAACTGATTTTTATTTATGCGGACCCCATTATTTGGTCTTATTAAATAATTGATATATTATTATCGTTGTCGTTACAGTTCCTTAGTATTATAAAATATCAACATATGACCAATTCATCAATCAATTTTTTTTTATAAAAAAACTGCATATATAGGCAGCCCCAATGAATAGTATGGGAGTGCGTGGCGTGGGTGGGTGTTGATCAACTTTGCTTGGTATTTTTCCAATGTTAACACTATATATATATATATATATAATATATATATATATATAATGTTTTTAAGAAAAAGGGCAAAAACGTAAAAAGATAAAGATCTCATTTGGTTGCATGATCTGGTGCTCATCACGCACGCACACATGGCCACACGCGTGACAGTAATCGTGGCGTCTCTCTCTCTCTCTCTTTAATTTGCTATTTTTTTTGTTGATTTATATATATTTTTTGGTTCAAATTGTTGGTGTATATTATTTGATGTGATTATCCACGAAGACAATTATGTAATTAGTTAGATCCAATTCTGTACGAGACGTTTATCTATCGTATATTCCATCTTATTACATAGAGATTTGGTATATCATAATCAGATCGCCGTTGTCTTGATTGCCGTTTTGCGTTCTATTATTATATTATTATTTTTCTAATTAATGATTTTAATGCCCAAGTGATGCTGAAGTGTTGTATGTTTTCGAAAATTTGAAAATACCTGTTGAATTAATTAAAAGAATCGATAACTAAACTGATTTATAAAAAAAAACAGAATTTATTTGATGATTAATGTGAGAATAACAGGAAACTTTGGTGCGTTAATGATGGAAGAGACTGCAAAATTAGAACATTTCAAAAGTGATTATTGATTAATGTGAGGCATGAAATCATGATTTGGGTAATTAAGCATGATTTTAATATATGTTATATTAATTTGGCTGCTTCTGCCGACGTAGCCATCAGACAGCCAAGTTGTTTGGAGTTCAAGGCAAAAAAAGTCAAAGGCACTTATATATCTTGTAATTAATCTACGTTGATACATGTATTTACATTCATATTGATATCCACACGCATTTAGTTCGTCGAAAGTATGATCTTTACACGTTTTTAAAAAAAAGATCGAATATTCCGAAATCATTCATAATTACGATTCTTAACGTTTGATATACGGAACACTCTTGGTGCCTATCCTAAAAATTTTCTAAATTACCCGAAACTTTATTTTATTTGAAATAAAAAAAATGTAAATTTTCTTAATGGTGGAGAGGTAAAAATGTTGGAAATTGATAAGAACAAGGCCTGAAATCTATCCACGCAACTAAGGACGGGTCATATCGAGTGACGGAGTGCACATCAGATATCAAATCCGACAGGTGAAATAAAGACTTCTAGTGGACGTATGTATGTATGTATATATATATGTATGTATCATCATCATCATCATAAAGATGATCGAGAGTTTAGTATTATTTTAAACATATGACTAGATTTATTCGGTGATTGGACTCTACCTCTTGTGGTTTGTGATATTTGATATGAAATATATGCACATATATTATAATAATATTCTTTCGTGTAAAAAACAAAAATCTAATATTCGAATCCACTCAAACTATGTAGTGGAAAAGCTACAAGTTGGATTGGAGAGTAAAGGCAGTAAAAAAAAAAAAAGAAACAGCCACGTGGGAAAAAGGACATGAGCTCCGTAGTGGGTTTGATTATGGGCCTAAAACAGCCTTATGAATGTAAGCCCAACTATGATTAGCATTAAGAGAATTCGAGCCCATATAATATAATAACAAAATATTTTATTTATTTATTATTCTTCTGGAAACCGCATTAGTACACAGTCACACAACAAATTATAAGGGGGGGGGGAATAGTGAATAAAGAGATTTATTATTTTAGGGGATGGAAACAAAAATAATAATAAAAAAATTGCTATATGCGTTTTGATTGTGAGAGCCACAAATGGGCAAAAGGACAAAACCAGAGGGGATGAAGGACCAAGGAGATCGTCCACACAGACTCGTGATATACAAACGACGACAAATGTTTTGTCATGTTATTCTCTCAATCCAGTCCCCATATTTTACCACATTTCCCATATTTACCCCCTCATCTCTGTTTTCTGATTTCATCAAGTTTTCAGGAAAGGATCAGACTTTATCAGAAAACGGGTAAAACGTGCAGTACAGTGTTGACACTATGCTTGTGTATTCGTCCCCAAATACCCATCTGATAAACCCAGTCCAGATAGGCAACACACACTATGTACCATTCCACCAAAAGAAAAAAAAATGCATATTAAGGATCATGAGCTGTATCTATCGGCTTCACAACGTGAAGGGGCTTGGAGGAGGTTGAATGATGGGAAGTTTAGACATGGTGGCATTCCCCATCACCACGTTTCGAGCGACCGTATCCTCCAAGGCGACCGGTTCAACCTGAGTCACGCTCTCAGGAGTAACCTTCTCTCCTTCCACCTTTGCAAGAACCTCGAAATGCATCCTCATTTTCTCGGGCTTTGTTCTCCACTCTGGGATCCCCTCCAGATCTCCTTCCTTCAGATTCTTTTCCACGCCAAAACCAATCTTCAGAAACGTTTGTGCCGAGACATCCGCCTTCAGCAACTTGAAGGTGCCCTCTTTCTGTGCCTTGGGGCCCAAGACAGAGGTCAGCAGCTTCTCAAAGCCGCGCAAGTTGGGGTTTGAGCCATTGATGGAAGCGATGGGCCACATGGTGGTTGTGAAATGCTTCGGGGTCAAAAGGGCAGTAGCTCCATCATTAACTTCGACTGGTGATAGCTTGCTTTGGTCTTTCGACATGGAGGATAGTTCCACAAGTCCAGGAGCAATCCTCTTCAGCTTGAGTTTGCTGTCTGAAGAAGAAGAAGATGATGATGGAGAAGGGGAAGCAAGTGAAGTAGGGCCAACGATGCGGAGGGAGAGGAGAGGAGAGCTCTTAACACGGGAAGAATGGCGAAGCTGTTCAGCTAAAGACATAAGCCCCGAGGCAAATTCATTGCTCGTCTGATTCAGGGGAAGCGGAAGATCGATAGGATGGCGCAAACTGGCTGATCTGGCACCTTTGACTGTGACCACAGCCCCATCTGCTAAAATCACTTTCTTCAAAACACCAGCATCCACATCATACTGCAAATCGTAGAAAACACAACAACAAAACAGATAAGGCATTTTGCACATACATTAACCGTTCCTATCATAGACTTGTGAGCTTTTATGTTGAATCAATGAAGCTTCTATCCAATATCAGCTAATCAGATTCTGAAAGCTAAACCTCGATCCAACAATAGACGACCATGATCCAGCTCTAATGACCTAGTCCAGATGAATAACTAAACAGATTCAATATACAAAATGACTTACGGGCAGCGAAATGCGCATATCATTGGCATCCTGGATCCATAGTTCCATAGGGCCAGCCAGCTGAAACGGAGCCAAAACCGGCAAAACATCACCTGATTTCCTCATCTCCGCTAAGCCATTCTTCTTTCCGAGTCCAGATGGTTCCGCCGCCCGGAAAATCGGCAGGTCCACATACTCCCATCGGTTCACATCCTCAAGAAGCTTGACGGGAAGCACCATATCATCGATTTCAAGGTCAAATTCATACGAAACAGCATGCCCCACCAGAGCATCCCTGACATCAAACCCAGAAATCTTGACCTCATCGGAATGGAACCCAAGTCCCTTCACAATCGCTTCTTTCAAATCCTATCAAAAATAAAATTTGAAAACCATTAAGTTCCATGTTTATGCGTTTACCTTCCTGTATCCCACCTAACGGGAAGATGAAGGATCTAACTTTCCATTCCAATAGCTTGCAAAGTTTCTATTGACTAATAACGGTAATGCCCTAAAATCAAATCATTCCCAGTGGTTCTGATTAATTAAGCGTATCCCCCAAACAACGACATTATAATTCGCCATGGATAAACTAACTCACACCATAGAATTGGTCGCAGATGCAATCAGGCATTACGCCTTTCTTCTCCGAATTCTAAAGTTTCTGAGCTACCCACACAAAACGATCATAAACCCGCAAAACAATGACTTGAAACGATAAATCACTTACAGAGATGGCTTTAGGGTAGGGAGGATTGGCTTCAGGAGACGAAATCAAAGCCCTCGAAGATGGCAAAGCCGTAAACAAAAGGAGAAACAATGATCCAACACGAACCAACGATCTTCGGTCCATTGATTGAGCAGAAACCAAAACCACCACTTAGAAATTCAACCTATACGAGATTAAAAAAAGCCCTTGCGCTGATTAATAGCGAAGGTAACGTGCGAGATATATATCACGGGATTAAAAAAAAAGTTCGAGGCTTGAAATTTGCTAGTTTAAAATTAGGAGAAGAGAAAGTAGGCAATTGTTCATATTTATTGTTCCTGCGGACGGATGGTTCTGGAATTCACAAGGGACGTTCGCAAGGAAACGATGATGACGTGGAGACTATCAACCAATGAGAGTTGAGCTGTGACGTGGCTCGAGTGAGAAAAATCTGAGCTATGGGGCCCACTTTCCTTGTACTGATACGATGTCGTTTCACGTGAAATAAAATTAGAAAAAAATAGCAATGGCGTCGCCCGGACTTGAACCGGAGACCTTCAGTGTGTTAGACTGACGTGATAACCAACTACACCACGACACCTATGAATTGTCTAATATATTTTTAAATTATTTTTCTTCCAAAATCATAATCGAAATAAAATAAATATTAATCCCCTGAAAAATATAACAAATGAAAGGCCACCACTTTCTAAAGGAAGAAGTACGACCCACAAGGCCATAACGCTTATCTTCCACTATAATGGCGGCCACGAGAGTGATAACGGCGGCGGCGGC